CGAGTGAGGCCCGTCTATGACTTTAACGATGTCCTTGACGTGGATGTTGTTCTGCTCCGAGTCGAGGGCGACGGCGAAGCGGTTGTCTTTTTTCCTGGTGACGGCTTGGTGCCTCACTGTCACCACCTTCCCATACATGTTCAGCACCTGTGGGGACAGCGAGAAGCTGGAAGAGGGGTGGCCAAAAGCAGGGCCCCCCCTAGAGCACCGGACACAGCCCTGTCACAGGGATGAGCATGAAAACCTCCCCCCTCGGGACACAGACACGGCTTCTCCGAGCATCCCATGGAGCTGGAACACACCTGGAAGGTCTCCCGTTCCAGGCGGACGATGACACCCACGGTTTGGGGGTCCAGCTGCACCAGCTCACCCCACTCGTGCTGCCCCCCAACATCCACGCCGGATGCCGTCTCTGAGCAGAGCTGCAGGTCCCGCGGCAGAACCTTGAGCTGGTGGCGAGAAGCGTGAGACGCAGCCATTTCCCCCTCTTTTTCCCCCAAAAAACAGTACGTTTTGGGGCAGGACACGGCACCGAGCTGGGCTTTTCACCCCCAAGTACCTCGTGCATGGTGAGGTCAGAGAAAAGGATGACGAAGTTTTCCTCCACCCTCACAATCAGCCCCGTGTCGCCCTCGAAACGTCCTGCGATCACCTTGACGTGGTCGCCCATCTTAAAATACTTGCGCAGCTCCTGAGCTGGGAACTCCAGCATGTCCTGGGGGAGGAAAAGACCACCGTGGGCACAGGGAGAGGGGGCTGGGGGAGTCCCAGGGTGGCCACGGTGGCCCCAGGAGGCACCCAGTGTCACTCCCCATGGATATCCTGACCTTCAAGTCCTCGTGTTTGGGCATGATGGTGATCTTGTTGCCGTCGACACTGAGAATTTTGCCTTGCAAGTTGATCAGCTCGCCCTCGCACACCTCCACGTTGTCACCGGGCTGGAAGTTGTGCTCTCGTTCCTTCCCTGGGGTGATGGTGGGGACGGTGAGGGGATGGTGCCGTGACGGGGGCGACGGGGGGACGGTGGTGGTACCCACTTACCCGTGCTCTCTGTCACCACTTCCAGGTCGATGCCTTCAGGTTGGTCCTCAAACTTCTCCAGCTCCGACAAGGTGGGCTTCACCCCCTCCGTTATCTGTCGAGAGGGGAGCTGGTGGCGAAATTGCCCTATTCTGCCCCAAAATACCCCACTCCGCCCCAACTTAGCAGCACCGTTCCCACTGAGGGCCCAGCACCCTCCCGACACCGCTCAATGTTAAAAAGGAGATGGTTTCAGGGGAAAACCAGTGGGTTTTGGGTTCAAACCCCAGCACAACAGGGCAGCGGCGCTCACCACAGCCGACATGGCAAAGCTCTTGAAGAGGAATCCTTTGCGGCTGTAGCGGTTGCCTTCAAAGATGAGAAAGTCACCATCGGATGCCACATCACCTCCCAGGGACCTGGGACAAAACCCAAATCACCCCCTCCGTGGGCAGGAAGCCCCCTCCAGGGATGAAAGCCCTCCCTCAGCGAGGGCAGCTCCCCCCGGGAAGGGCTTTCAGGGTCATATGCGATGTCCCCTGGCACGGTGACGGTCGCCTACCGGATCTTCTCGGCATCAAAAAGTCGCTGTGGTGGTCGCTTGAACTTCTTCCTCTTGGCAAACCAGTCTTTCTACGGGGTGGGAGGCAGCGGGGGCATGAGCGAAAGGCGGCGCGGCACGGCAGCAGCGCCGGCACCGGCACGGGGTGGATCCGCTTACCAGGCTCATGCGAGCTTTGATCCGGTCAAAGTCGATGCGAGGAATCATCTTGAGGGAAATTTGGTTCTGGCTGGGCTCCACGTAATCCACCTGGGGGGCACAAACGTGGGGTGAGGCGGGTGTTGTACCCCGCCTCCACGGCGCCTTCCTCCTCTTCTCCTCCTCACCTGGGCGATGTCATCTTTGTAGATTCCCCTCTTGAGGCGCACCCAAGATTTGGGTTTGAGGTTGGTGACCTCTTTCACCACCTTCAGGACGTCGGTCATCTCCTTGATGGGGACCATTTGCTGGTTCCAGTAACCCATGCGCAGGTTGCCCACTCCCTCAATCGCTTGCTTGACGTGCGTCTGCTTGTAGGCTTCCACGTAAATATAACCCTTGACGTGCTCGGGGGCCACCACCGACTTGATCTGCAGGGGCTGGAGGACAAGGGAACGCGTTGGGGACATGTTAGGGACA